TCTCCAGATGCTTCACCTGTGAAGCACTCAAGACAGAGCCAAATGACGAGCAAAGACAATAACCATTCACAGGAGTACTGTCTTATGTCTGCAATTTGCATTAAATCCTTCTGCTACAGAAAGTGTGATGTTTTTCTGACGCTGCGATGTGGATAACAGGTCTATGGTTTTCATAAACTCTGGGACACCAAGAGCTTTTGTTATATTGAAGAGAGTGGATTTCTTGTCACATGAGATGTTTAAAGTGATGCTATTAATAATGCTGTGTATAACAGCTGCCCTTATTTATTCATAAATACAGCACCAACATCTTACTTGTCACAAGGAGAGGATTTTCTTCTACTATAAAAAGATAATTAATTCAGGCTGAATAAACTTAATGGTGCATTTGCCATCTGGGCAAAGCAAACAAAACACCAGAATAGAATTGTGTGAAGAAAAAATATCAAAATATGGAATAAAAATACATGCTTAAGCTCTGTTTGGTTTCTTTAACAACAAATAATTTTTCACCCCAAGTATTGTGCTCATGCTTATTTGAAAAGAAATATAACAGGCAATAGGGCATTTAAAAATACATAGTTGAACATGGACAAACATTTCAGGTGATTTCTCTCTGTCTTTGTTTTTTACACATCAGCAACACAAGCAAAATGTTTCATAGGTCTGCATCTCTTCTCGTCTAGACCCACGAGGGACAGAAGCTCTTATCAAATAAAATCATATAGATAAAAGTGCATTGTGAACTTTAAAGAACCATAAAAGTGTAGGAGAATTAATATTATTTCCATCAGCCTGGTGTGTCCTTAGAGAGCAGAACTCATAGACACACTGGGGGCTTTGATTTTATTAAATAACTCAGGAAAGTGAACTTCATTGACGACCCATGATCTTTAAAAGCCTTGAAAAGATGGTACTTGTCATGGGGAGCCATCACTGGCCTAACATTCTAAAGTCTCACCTGTAGGCTCTTAGCTGCTTATTCAGAAATGTTTCTTTTTTCTTATCCTCTCCATAAACATCTCAGATCTGTCTTTTCTTGACCATTGTGCAGCTGAACCCTGTGAGCCCCTGAGTATATGTGTTTGTGCTTTCAAAACTTCCTCCCTGCCCACCACCCGCCCACCCACCCACCCACCAAGCTGCACCTATCTTGCACCTTCCCATTCCCTGTTTTAACCACGCCTTGCCACCAGACAGCAGAGTACCATCATTATATCCTGGGGCCTTTCTCTGCCCCAGTTTTCTTGATGAAGATGACTGGTCTCCCTTACATCAACTAGTTCTCATTAAGAAGTGATTGAAAAATCCTTTTTTCAAAAAGACTTCCTGGTGGAAAGATTTGGACCACGGATCAATTCTGGCAGGCCTCAGAACCCAAAACTGGATTTACATGTTAATCCTGACGTCAAGTCATATATACTGCAAACAGGTTTGTTGCATTTGACAGTGAATGAATAATTACTTGCCAAAGTTAGTCTCCATTAAGTGTTGCAAGGAGTTCATTAAAATGACTCCAATAATGAGGTCCATATAAGATGCTGTTATTAGAAATACTTTTATTATCCCAGGATTTAGAGGCAAGGGGATTTTGACTTTGCCTCTTTTCTCAACAGCAGAAACAAAGCCTGCTGTATTTTCCACACATGTCAGAGTAAGAGCCTCTTTCTTTTGGAATATAAAGCAAAATTTTTACCACCAATATCCTTACCTGGCCTATAAGACCAGCTGATACTTATCTTACCAGCTTCTTCCATTGCTTTTTCTGACCCTAGCCACTCTGGCCTTTCTTCCTCTCTTTGAACGTGCTCTAATCCTTCCTTACTGAAGATTTTGGTAGGATGTTTCTCAGATGGATCCCCCCGCCCCCCGCAATCAGTCTTTATAATTTATAGAAGAGCTCAGACACCACTGTTTGAAAGAAGCTCTGACAGCTTGGAAGGATCGGCTGCTTCCTTCATATGCTCACCTGGTGCCCTTCATAGAACTGGTAACCAAATAAGCACACGAGTGGTTAATGGGATAACAGGATTCTCCTCCTGGAATGTCAACCCCATGAGGGCCGAACCTAAGGATGCCTTCCTCACACTTGTAACTGCAGTGGCCGCCATCATGTTCGCACCCAGTTGGCTTTCAATAAACCAGGTTACGATATGGCTGAAGGAGTGACTTCCTTAACGAGAGTGAGGATGATGAAGACATATCACTTTTAGGGTGACACTGCATCTTCTGAAAATATTCCGAAAGTGTTGACACAGCTCGTAAAAACTCAATGTACAATTTCCAATTTGACATCTGTGTAACAATTTCCACTTCAGTTCCTCTAGTGGTTAACTGATTTTGAAATCCAGGATTAAAGAGGTAAAATAGGGGCGCCTGGGTGGCTCCGTCATTAAGCGTCTGCCTTCGGCTCAGGTCATGATCCCCGGGGTCCAGGGATCGAGCCCTGCATTGGGCTCCTTGCTCAGTGGGGAATCTGCTTCTCCCTCTCCCACTCCCCCTGCTTGTGTTCCCTCTCTCGCTGTGTCTTTCTCTGTCAAATAAATAAAATCTTTTTAAAAAAAATAAAGAGGTAAAATAAATTTAGAAATACAGAAAAATAAAACCAGTCAATCACTGAAGTAGTAATTAGTGAAAGTTTATTGTGCACACACCAAAAAGGCAGTCTGCAAACCAGAAGCATCCAAATCAAAAGATGGAAGGCAGCTCAGGGGTATATTGTTACGGAGTAGCAGCTTTAAAGGTGAGAGAGCAGTGACGATTTATTCTTCACAGTGATTGGTTACATTAGAATTTTCTTAAATGAAAAGGAATTGGTCAATGGTTACCTCATATCCATCTTGGGAAACAGTTTAGGTTTTGCTTATGGTTTTCAGATGCATAAACAAGAAATGACCCAGTCAGGTTAGTCTTGCAAAATAAGCTAAATTAGTGTTTGTTTGTATGACTAAACTGATTTTGTCTGCTCAGGGAATTTTCAAGGCTGGTCTCCGTTTGTTTTTTACCAAGGACAAAATCATGACTCTTTATTAACGATTCATTAATTTTTCTTCTCTGTTGCATCAGATAGATTATATAATTAGGGGACTTTTCAATGAAGCTAAAGTTTGCCTTGCATAATAAATTCCTTAGTGAAAATAAAATTCAATCATCAGACACATTCAGAAGCACTGAACTAAATCTCTGTGGAAATGGGATTTCCTCTGGGCAGAATATTTATACATGACATGCATATGTTAACTGTGACTCACATGTGAATGCAGAGAACTTACACTAAGCCTGAGATAACACAGATGAAGGAACAAAAATGCTTTCTCTAGTATTTCTGGGTGGAGGGGAAGGGATCGATCACGTGCTTGGTTTTCATGTTATGTATGTTGGTTTGACTTTATGAGCCTTTAAATTTGATGGACAGAAAGAGTAACACATAGAGAAACACATAATAAGCCCCTCTCACAACAGGAGTAAAAGCAGCAAAAGAAAAGAATTCCATCAATTCTCTGTTCTAAGGTAAAAAATGAGAGTATGGAAAACTAGGCTTTTGATGGGGTTTTAATAATCTCTGGGCTCACAAATTATGTATTGGTTCAGTTTGCATTTCCATGTCCTCTGCCTTCTAACCCTTCTTTTGCTTATTGCCAGGGAGAGTGTAGAAAGGATATTCTCTCATATATCTTTTTCTTCATTTGAAATTTTAAAGAGTAAGAATATAATCCATCAAAATGACTCCAGACTGTAAACCTAATTTTTATCAGGCTTGCCTTTACTATTTGAGCTTCTAAGTCTATGGATTTGTGCTTTCTTTATTATATGTAACATAAGGCAAATGCTTCCAGCATTTAGGGCAATAGGTGAGATAAAAACAACGTATTCTAAACTACACAAATAACATCGGGCTGGCTAACTAAGGAGGACAGTTCGAGAAGGAAAACCTTTGAAACAGAAATGAAAAACTGATCTTGTTAAGAATTCAGGCCTGGGGGTGCCTGGGTGGCTCAGTCCTTAAGCATCTGCCCTCGGCTCAGGTCATGGTCCCAGGGTCCTGGGATTGAGCCCCGCATCGGGCTCCCTGCTCGGCAGGAAGCCTGCTTCTCCCTCTCCCACTCCCCCTGCTTGTGCTCCTGCTCTCGCTGTATCTTTCTCTGTCAAATAAAAGAATAAAAAAATAAATCTTAAAAAAAAAAAAAAGAATTCAGGCCTGAACAATAAAACTTAGGTTGTTTTACATAATTAGTTCTTTTCTTAAGTTAGCTAAGAATGTTTTGAGAGCTGTACCTCTATGCCTTGAGTTCCTTACGATTAACTGAAGACCCATACTAAGTAACTAATGTGGAAGGAATCCCAATTTTGAGCACTGGAAAATGCCAAACTTTAAACCCACTGTGTGCTTATATAGCCAGAATGGGTCATTGGTCACCATAAAAGATTATTGGTGATGTGACTGCCATTATGATTTCCCTCTCCCATCCCAACAAACACTAGAAGGAGGCTAACTTCTGTCTAAGGATTGGATTGGCAACTTACAGTTAAAAATGGTGCGTTTTTCCTAATCTCCATCCATAGAAAAGCTAGGGGGGAGAAAATGAAAGGTAGATTTTTAGAAATCCATTTCGATGAAATTAAAACAAATGAGCAAACGAAACACCTTGTCACAATTTCAATCCTTAAACTTTAAAGTGTGGCTGTCAAACACTATTTGTCTGGACTGATGTCAGGGAACAAACTGATAGCTGACACATGACTCTTCGGAAGTCAAATAGGATACAGATTTCTCCAAAACTATCTTGAAAGAAATGTTTAAGCATACATTGACTAGAGCAATGAGACACATGAGCATGGGCTGGGTACCGGGGGATAAAAGAATGTTTCGATAGAGAACTGGTTCGTATTGTGAAATGGAGTGAAATCGAATTCGCAGGACATCAACTCCTACCCTGTAGCCCCTCGAGTGAAGAATGCCAGAAGTGAGTTGGGTGAAAGAAGTTATGAGGAGACAAAAATATTTCACCTTAGTCAGACTTTTATTAAAAAAGAGCTTGGAAATTTCAGACAGTATAGTGCAAAAATATATAAACAATTACTTTTTATCAGATAATGTTGGCTCTAACAAATCAGCAGTTTTTTTTTTTTTATTATACAAAAGTAGCAAAAAAAAAAGTGAACACCTGCACTCGGGAAAGCATGGAAATATTAACATCATTACAATCACAAGTTCTCCATACACGATTCTACCTATCAGTGAAGGTTTATTATTGTCACTCCCACCTAAGATTCACTGATGCGCAGTACATGCCAGGTTCATGCACTGTCTTTGGTAACAGATGCTTTTGATATCAATAACTATGCTACAGAGTAAAGCACCTGTTTCACACCTATTTCTCCTTTCTCATTGGGAGTCAATTCTTCCTCCTTGTGGGACACCCACTGGAGAAGTGAGTGAAGGCTGGTGGTTAGCAGTTCCTGACTGGTTGGAGCACAGAGTTGACCTGCCCAGTGGTGCTCAGCCCCGCCAGCTGTGTAATTTGACTCCTGCCCTTGAAGGAATGTCCCCTATTTCCTTAAAGGGGTAAGTATCAGTGCAATTTCAAAGGATAAAGTAGGTACACAATTTTATTCAATATTTTATATTATGCTACAAATATGTACAACTTCAATAATAAATTAAGAATAAGTGAACAAAATAATTATGAGGACAGTTCATAGACACCATGTTACTCAATGCCATTTTTCTGCCTTCATTTCCAAGAGTTCATCCGATCCAAAATTCTGGATCATCCTTTTGTTAGAAAAATTGGTTTGGGCAGCCCATGTGAACCGCAGAGAGTTTCATTGCCTTTAAGCCATGGGAAGATGTTTGTTAATAGCAGAAATGCTGAAGAGGATCAATTACAATCAAGAAGAGTTGATGAACATTTGTACAATATGTACAAAACTCCGAAAAAATTCTTTAATATTTTTCTCCTCCAGTTCCTCACATTCTTTGCATCCCGTTTCAGTTACATTCTGCCAAATAAAAAGAAAGGATTAGATTGAAAGTCTGCTGTATCTCTTTCCTGGGAATATCACATCATTTGAACCATACGGTGAGGTCTTAAGACATGAAAACTTTGGCAAATTAATATCATAGTAGGAAGAACCACTGGAAAAGAGAACTGGGAGATTTGATTTGGGCTTATTTTTCCTATAATAGGTTAAAGACACTGGAAAAATAAGCCATGTCTATCAGATCATGGACTTCCTGCTTACCGCCCTTGAGTGGTCATTTACCCTTCTGGTCGTCTACTCTAGCATCAGGTCCATGCCTCCCTGCATGGCACACAGGGGCCTTGAAGTGATCCTCACCTGTTTCTTTCACCTGTCCCCACCACCTCAAAGGACATAGCCTAAGTACACTGAGCTCATGCCTTTACCCCCATGCACACATCATGCTATTAGCTACCCTCCTGTGTTGACTTTTCTCTCTGCAGGTTCCTCATTGCCGTTGTAGCTACCACTACTCAGGTTAAGATCGCTCAGGTGCTATCTCCACCAGGAAGGCATTCCTGAACCGAGGAGTTCCTCTAAATGTTCCATCTCCACATTCTCAGACCTCCCTCCTATCACATCATATATTATATTGATATTAGGGAGTTTCACGCTTTTTATGCTATTATTCTCTAGGCTTTTCTAAGAGTGCAAAGCCACACACATCTTTGTTTCCCCAGCATTTAGCACAGGGCCTAGCACACGGGAGTCACCTAGTCGTTACCAGTTGAATTGAACTATTTAGGTGAAGACCACAAGTTGTAATTCAAACACCATTTCATGGATAACTAGAATCTTCCAAATGTAGTCATCACCAATAAACTATTTAAGAGATCATCTGAACCATGCAAGCCATACCAGCAAAAATCAAAATTAGATTTTACATCCATTAAGCATTTGAAATTCAGATTCACCAACATTTATCAAGCACATCCTCTATGCCAGGCACTGTCATATTCCATATAGAACTGTCCTCCTTGAAAATAATCATGTCAACCAACAAGGCAGAGATATTACATGATGCATCTCAGTTGACATAATCAATGAAATTCTCTGTGCAGCCTGCCCGCTCCTTCCATTAGATGTGCTGAACACACCACATCACAGTCACAGTGACTGTGACCATGGGCATCAAGAGTTCACCAGGAAAGATGTGGTATATATATACAATGGAATATTATGCAGCCATCAAAAGGAATGAGATCTTACCATTTGCAACGGTGTGGATGGAACTGGAGGGTGTTATGCTGAGCGAAATAAGTCAATCAGAGAAAGACATGTATCATATGACCTCACTGATATGAGGAATTCTTAATCTCAGGAAACAAACTGAGGGTTGCTGGAGTGATGGGGGTGGGAAGGATGGGGTGGCTGGGTGATAGACACTGGGGAGGGTATGTGCTATGGAGAGTGCTGTGAATTGTGTAAGACTGTTGAATCACAGACCTGTACCTCTGAAACAAATATTGCAATATATGTTAAGAAAAAAAAAAAGAAGAAGAAGATAGCGGGAGGGGAAGAATGAAGCGGGGGAAATCGGAGGGGGAGATGAACCATGAGAGACGATGGACTCTGAAAAACAAACTGAAGGTTCTAGAGGGGAGGGGGGTGGGAGGATGGGTTAGCCTGGTGATGGGTATTAAAGAGGGCACGTTCTGCATGGAGCACTGGGTGTTATACGCAAACAATGAATCATGGAACACTTCATCTAAAACTAATGATGTAATGTATGGTGATTAACATAACAATAAAAAAATTTAAAAAAAAAAAGAGTTCACCAGGGATGTTGTTAGGAGTTATCTGTTGCCTAGCTCAGCCTTTCTACCAATAACATAGAAATAACATATCACAAGAGTATTTTAAACATCAGTATGTTCATTTCATAAATACATTGTCTAGAATATGCCAGGCAATGTTTGGGGAGTTGGGATACAGCACTGAAGAAAACACACACACACACACACACACACAAATAACTGCCTCTTCGAAACTGGCATTTGAGTAGGGAAAAGCAGACAAAAGCCATTCAGGAAAACACCAGTTAGTGGGGCATGCAGACAAGAGGACAGGGCGTGGGAAGGGATTGCAAGGTGAAGAGCTGCCATCACTGAGAAGATGACATTTCAGCAAAGACCTAAAGCAACCTGGCATTTTTTGGGCAAGTCCACGGCGTCCAGCCATCCTAGCTCAGGGGCTCCGCACTTTCGGTCACCTCTGCCTCAACATCCTTCCCCGGAGACAAGGCTCATTCCCTCTTGTCCTGGCCAAATGTCAGCTTAGTAGGTAAATGTCTAAAGTGGAATCCTAGCCCTCTTACCTATCTTCTTTTAGGCCACTGGAATTAATAAATAACTGAGTTATTATTATTCATTTCCTTATGATTGCTTTATTTATGCTTTATTTTATGGTTTATTTAAGTCCCTTAAGAGCAGAGACCAAGTGTATTTTTTCACGTCTGTTTTCCCGAGGGCCTACAACGAGGCTCACAAAGTGTTTGTTAAATTAATGAATTATTCTTATGCCTTCTTTGTTCATAAAACTTCTTTCTTTCCACTCTACTTTAGCCCCTGGTGTTGTGTTGGGAAAGCTATCACGCTCTTTACTTGAGGGCCTCTGAGCAGCTCATCCCCACGCCCGCTGTGGGCGCTCCTCACATTTGCTCCCCCCGCAACCATGCTGCTCGTGGTGCCTGGCGTGGCCCAAATTCTACTTGAATTATTAATATGTTTATTATTAACTTTCTGAGGCATTTGTCCTGCCAGGGGATAAGAAGGAGACATCCCCCGAAGTGAAACTGCTTGGGTATGAATCCTGGCTCCCCATTTTACCAGCTGTGCAAATTGGAGGAAGTGTTTTCAAGCCCTTAGTGCTCCAATTTCTTCAGCCTTAAAACAGACACACGATACCTATCTCACAGATTTATTGTGAGGACGCAAGGAATTGCCACATCACCGCTGAAGAACGGTGTTGTCTGGCATAGAGTAATAACCGAATAAATGCGAATTGCTATTCCTGACGCTAAACACTTAACTATGTCATTAGATTCATGGCTCTGCACTGCACCTGGGGATGAACACCTTGAGGGCAATGACCTCCCTGTTTCACCACCATCACTCTCGCACCAAAGTGCACCGCCTGGCGTCATGCAGGGCGTGTTTGTTGAATGAATAAATTGATAAACCAGTTTAGGATTATGCGCACCCTAGTGGTGCGGCCACTCCGCAGACATGAACTCCCTCTCCCGAGAGCTGCTTGTTCCTTATATCCAGCTAATGCCTTCTCCCACCCAAGCCGAGAGCATCAGACAAAGCTCCGTCTGACTATTAGAAAACTCACCCCATTAGAAGATAAACCATCATTTGCTAGGATGATAAGGTTCTCCACTGTTTCATTAAGGAGATGATGTTTGGACTCAAGCAAAATAACACGTAACTCCAGGAGAAAGCACTTCATCGCTGTTACTTTGCAACTGGGCTAAAAATAAGAGTTACAGAGAATCATTTTGGAAAAAAAAAAAAATGACCTTTCCATTATGCATGTTTACATAGATGTAATTATGATTTTTTAAAAAGTCAATCCAAATATTTTATAAAGAAACACAATACCCCCAAGAAGTTTTACATAGGAGACAGCTTTTTTTTTTTCTTTCTTTTTTGGCTTTGAAATCAAACCCAAACAAACTGACAACGAAACAATCTAAGAGGATGGTAATATTACACAGAAGAGTGAACATAAATCTAGAAAACATGGAAATAATAGGCCACTTTTTCTCACTGAGAACATTTCCTCTTTGTAAAAGGGTGCTAATACCAGCCTGAGACTCTCTCAAAACATTAGTATGGATAGTGTGCACTGAAAGAATTTTTAGAATCAGATTGTGTTGTTAACATTTTAAACAGTGATAGCTGCTGATGGTGCTATTTCTGCCAAGTTCCAAAGTTCCAGAGGCAAAAGTGATTCCAAGAAATGTATTAGAAAAATCGGGGTGCCTGGGTGGCTCGGTCGTTAAGCGTCTGCCTTCGGCTCAGGTCATGATCCCAGGGTCCTGGGATCGAGTCCCACATCGGGCTCCCTGCTCAGCGGGAAGCCTGCTTCTCCCTCTCCCACTCTCCCTGCTTGTGTTCCCTCTCTCGCTGTGTCTCTCTCTGTCAAATAATTCAGTAAAATCTTAAAAAAAAAAAGAAAAATCAATGTAGGAGTATTGCCCACTCACGGGCTGGCCAAACCAGAAAGGGATCTTTCAGATGCCGCAGAAGTATGTTTCCCACAACGGTTCATTGAACAAAAGCCTAAACTTAAAAGAAGCATTGATGAATATCTGGAGGTTTGACCACGACTTGACTTTCTGTTCTCATTGCCTTGCACAGTGCCTGGGACCCAGCCGGCACTCCACAAATGCTTACTGAATGGACGAAGGAAGGAAGGAACCCACCTATGTGTCTGGCACTGGCCATATGCCCATGTCCCACAGCAGCTGCTCAGGATTGAAGGGTAAATACTGTCCCCACATAGATAGATAGATAGATAGATAGATAGATAGATAGATAGATAGATAGATAGATAGACAGATAGATAGATAGATGATAGATAGAGAAAATAATAAATAAGCAAAACAGGGTCAGACATGCTTGGTGACTTGCAAGGTAACACAGCTAGGTAGGGGCTGAACCAGAGTTTAAATCTAAATTTCAACCTCAGCTTCTTTCTGTAACCCGTGAGTTACAAGGTTATCTTCTTGCAAAAAAAAAAAAAAAAAAAAAAAAAGCAATCTCAGGATGCTGAGTTTGGGGGGTTAATTGACTGCACTCTACTTTGGAAAAATGGAAGGCATGCTGAAGCCGAAGAGGCAGACAATTTCTATGTGTAGCAGCACTAGCCAAGTGGCTGATGAACATCTGTTTTTTTTTTCTAGTTCATGATGAAGACTTCCTCCCAAAGCTAAGGAAGTCTTCACAGGAGCAAAATTTTCTATTTCAGAGAGGTCCTAACTGAGAGCGGACTCACGGTTCTCCATGCACACAACATAGAGTTTGTTTTCCACAACGTGAAGAAGTCAGGGATTTGTTTCTTGGTTTTTAGTAGCCAATCCAGAGAGAAGGACCAGCAACATGGCTAAAATCCTACACACCTTCGGCAATGTCAGGGTATTAATGAGACAAGTTCAAGATCATTTTTGAATTCTGATAAGTTTTATGAGTTCTGTTTATTTCTTTTCTCACATAGAGGGTAACCAGACAGAATCCTCTTCTGACAATTGTAGAGATTCACGCAAAATGTAGAACATGAATGCATTTAAGCGACTTGTAGAAAATTTGATTAAGGGTGGTAATACACTACAGCACTGGAAACAACAGATATGGTGGATAGTTTTAAATTGAATCAGTTAACCTGATTTTTGCATTTAATTGCATCATGATCTAATTGCATCACAAAATATATAATATATTTTGTTTGACATTGATGGAAAAGGCTGTTTCAGATTTTGATTTGGTACCATTATGAAAATAGCATCTTTGTAGTTCTCTGCCCCCAAGTCCCACAACCTCAACAGTTACCTATAAAATTCATTGATCATATGTTGTCAGAACACACGGAAAGTTAGATTTAAAAACAACACATCCTTCAGTAAATTTATGAAGATATACTTCTTCAACTTTTGAAACTGGAAAATATAGCAATTTTCAAAAAAATAAACTATACTCACATGAGCATCGCTTTCAGTATATAAAGTGGTATCAATATGTATAGACTGAAAGGAAACAAAATTAGATAATATGAAAAACTATGCCCTCCTTTAGATATAGTGAGAACAACCTACTGAAAGCATTAAATTAAGCTTTTTAAATTTTTTTATTTTGAGATAATTTCAGATTTATACGCAATTGTAAGAACAAATAGAGATCCTGTGCCCCCTTGGCCATTCCCCCAGCGGTAATATTGTGCATAACCACAGTACAATAGGACAACCAGGAAACTGACATTGATACAATCCACTCACCTTGTTCAGATTTCACCAGTTCGATGTGCAATAATGGATGGGTGCAGTTCTACTCAATTTTACCAGATGTGTGAATTCATGTAACCATCTCCACGGTTACATAGTTACATCATTAAAATCCTCCTCCTACTGTTTTATAGCCCAAACCACCTTTCTTAACACACATTTCACCCCCCACCTTTCTAATCCCTGGCAACCACTTCTCTCCACTTCTCTCCACTTCTCTCCTTGAAATGTATAACATTTCAAGAATGTTATACAAGTGGACTTATATAGTATATGATTGTTTGAGATTGGCCTTCTGAATACACTATTTTTTGAGCAGTTGTATGTTTATAGAACATGAGCAGAAAGTACAGAAAGTTCCCATATATCCCCTCCCCGCCCTGCCCCAGTTTCTCCTATTATTATTATCTTGCATTAGCCTGGTACATCTATTACAATTGATGAGTCAGTATTGATATATTTGTAACAAAGTCCATAGACTGCATTGGGATTCAGTCTTGGTGTTGTACATTCTGAGTTTTAAAAAATATATAATGACATGTACCCACCATTTTAGTATCATACAAAATAGTTTCTTTACCATAAAGACTACCTGTGCTCCATCTATTCAGCTCTCCCTTTCCCCTGACCCCTGGAAATTTCCCACTGATGTTTTTGCTGTATCCATAGTTTTACCTTTTCCAGAATGTCATATAGTTGGTACCACAGTACATAGCCTTTTTAGATTGGCTTCTTTCACTTAGTGGATATGCTTTTAAGGTTTCTCCATGTCTTTTCATGTCTAGAAGCTCCATTTCTTTTTATTGCTGAATAATATTCTATTGTATGGATGTACCACGGTTAGCCTATTCAGACTATTTTTTTTTTCACCCAACATAAGAATACTCTGGAGGTCCATCCAACCTGTTGTGAGTTATCAGTAATTCTTTCTTTATATTTGCTCAGTACTGTTCCATGATATAATGTACCACAGTTTATTCATCCACTGAAGGGAATTTGGGTTGTTTTCAGTTCTTAGCTATTGCAAATAAAGGTCTATGAACATTCATGTGCCTGTTTTTGTATGGACATGAGTTTTCATTTCTCTGATATAAATGTTCAGGAGTGCAACTGTTGGATCATATGGCGAATGCATGTTTTATTTTATAAAAAACAGCCAAACTATTTTAGAGTAGCTGTAAAATCTTATATTCTCATCAAAAATATGTGTGATCCAGTTTCTCTGCATCCTTGCCAGCATTCAGCATTATTACTATTTTTTAATTTAAATATTCTTATAAGTGCATGGTGATGTCATTGTGGTTTTAATTTGCATTCTCTAAATAATGTACAGCCATTTATTGGCACTTTCTCCCAGAAAAAGACTTGCGGTGATTCATAATTTCTTCCTTTCTAATCTGCATACTTTTATTCTTTTTCTTGCCTTGCCAATTTAGCTAAAATTCCAATACTGTGTTGAATAAGAGTGGTGAGAGATGACATATTTGTCTTGTTTCTAATCTTAGGGGAAAAACATTCAGTCTTTCCTCATTAAGTATGATGTTAGCTCTACGTTTTTTGTACATGCTCTGTATCAAGTTGAGAAAGTTACCTCTCTTTCCTTGTTTGTGGAGAAATTTTACTAGGAATAGGTATATTCTTAAAATGCTGTCTCTCCATCAACTGATCCGGTCACATGATAATCTACTTTAGCCTGTTAATAGGTGGGTTACAGAGACCGATTTCCCAATAGTAAGCAGGTCTTGCATACCTGGAATAAATCCCATTGGTTATGATATATAATTCTTTTAATACACTGGTGCATTTTATTTGCTAATATTTTATTGAAAATTTCTGCATCTAAGTTTATTAGAGGTATCTGTTGCTTTCTCTTTTGATATCATCTTTGCCTGGTTTTAGCATCAGGGTAATACTTGCCTAGGTGAGTTAGAAAGTTTTCCTTCTTCTATTTTTGGAAGAGATTGTAAAATCTGTGTTAATTTTTCTTTAAGTGTTTGGTAGAATGCTCCAGTGAAACCAGGTGGGCCTGGGGATTCTTTTTGGGGAGATTATTTATGGTGAATTCAGTGTCTTTAATGGTTATAGAAGTTTGGGATTGTTTATTTCATCTTTGTCACATTTTGGTAGTTTGTGGTTTTTGAGAAATTGGTCCATTTCCTCCAAGTTGTCAAATTTAGAGAATAAAGTTGTTTACAGTTTTTCTTTATTATCCTTTTAATGTCTGCAGATTCTGTAGCAATAGTCTCTCATTTCAGCTCTGATATTAATGGTTTATGTCATCTCTTTCTTAATCTTTATCAGTTTTTCTGGAGGTTTATCAATTTTATTGATTTTTTCCCCCAAATAATGAGTGTTAGGTTTCATTAAGTTTCTCTATTATTTTTCTGATTTCAATTTCATTAATTTCTGCTCTTATCTTTACTTTCTCCTTCCTTCTGCTTGTGTTAGGTTTATTTTGCTCTTCTCTTTCCAGATTTTTGAGGTGGGAACTTAGATTGTTGATCTGCGATCTTCCTCTTTCCTAATATAATCACTTAGTTTTATAAATCTCCCTCTCAGTAATGCTTTGCCTGAATCCCACAGATGTTGATGTGTTGTACTTTCATTTTCAGTCAGGTCTATGTACTTTTTTTATATCCTTTGAGATTTAACCTTTGACCCATGGAAAATTTAGAAGTATATTATTTAGTTTCCAAGTGTTTGGAGATTTTCCTGCTGTATTTATATAATTGACTTCTACATGATTCCACTGTGTTCAAAGAACACTCTGCATGATTTCAATTTTGATAAATTTGTTAAAGTTTGTTTTATGGCCCATGATATGGTTAGTCTTGGTGAATGGTGCCTGAAAAAAATATTAATTCCTTGTCGGTGAGTGAAATGTTTCATCTATATAAATTAGATATTGTTGGCTGACTGTGTTGTCCAGTTCTTCTATATCCTTTCTGATTTTCTCTCTTGTCGTTCAGTTTGTTCCTTAGGAGGTGGTGAAGTCCTCAACTATAATTGTGAATTTGCCTCTTTCTCCTTTCAGTTCGATTAGTTTTTGCATCTTGTATTTTGAGGCTCTGCTGTTTGGCGTGTACACATTTAAGATCACGTTTTCCTGGTGGATTAATCTCTCACCATTTTGTAATGGATCTCTTGATTCTAGTAATTTTACTTGTTGTAAAGTCTACTTTATCTGATACTAAGAGAGCTACTTCTGATTTTTGAAATTATTGTCTGTATGTGTATCAGCTTCCTAGAGCTACAGTAACAAAATATCGAAATGAGGGCTTAAAACAACAACAACTTATTCTCTTACAACTCTGGAACCTAGAGGTCCAAAATCAAGATGTCAGTAGGGCCATGATCCCTCTGAGGGCTCTAAGACAATCCTTCTTTACCTCTCCCAAGTCTCTAGTGACTCGGGCGATCCTGGGTCTTCTGTGGCTTCTAGCTGCATTATTTTAGTTTCCTTTGCCTTGTAGCTGCCTCCAATTTCACATGGCCTTCTTCCCTGTCACTCTCTCTGTGGTCTGTCCTCTTCTTAGAAGGACAGCTAGTCGTGGAGTTAGGGTCCAACCCACCCCAGTAGGACCTCACCTTAACTAATTGTATTTGCAAAGACCCTATTTCCAAAGAAGGTCACATTTGGAGGTTCTGAGGAGACATGAATTTTTTTTGGGGGGGGCACCATTCAACAACCCATTACAATATGGTATATTCTTTTTTCTCTTTTCAATTTCGACCTACTTATATCATTATGTTTGAGGTGAATTCCTTGTAGACAGCAAAATACTGGTTTGTGTTTTGTTAATCAATTTGGCCAATCTCTGTCTTTTACTTGTATTCTCTTTCCCCTCTCCTTCTGGGACACTAATGCTAAAAATGCTGGATCTTGGGTGCCTGGGAGGCTCAGTCAGTCAAACGTCAGGCTCTTGATTTCAGCTCAGGTCATGATCTCAAGGTCATGAGATCAAGCCCCGCGACGGGCTCCAGTCTCAACACAGAGTCTACTTGTCCCTCTACTTCTGCTCCTCCCACCGCTTGCCCTCCCTCTCTCTCTCTAATAAATTTTTTAAAAATAAAATAAAAAAAAGAATGCTGGATCTTTTATTATACCAAAGATCCCTGAGGCTTTTTTTTCAGTGTGTTTTCTATTATTCTATCTTCAAGTTCACTGTCTTTCCTCTGTCATATTCATTCTGTTCGTGAATCTCTCCAGTTTGCTTTGTATTTCAGTTATTGTATTTTTCAGTTCTGTCATTTCCACTTGGTTCCTTTTACATATTGTATTTCTTTGCTGAGACTTTGTTTTATCCAGTTGTTTCAAGGGCATCTGTAATTGCTTGTTGGCACATTTGTATGATGGCTGCTTTAAAATCCTTGTCAAATAATTCCAACATCCAATCCATCTCTGTTTCAAAGTCTGTTTCAGAGTTGTTTCTCAGTCAAGTTGTGATGTTCTTGCTTCTTGGCATAATGAGTGAGTTTCAGCTGTGTTCTGGTATTTTAGCTTTGTTACGAGACCCGGGTTCCATTTAAATACTCTATACCAGCACGCATCCACCCTATTTAGGTTTAGGTTCAGACTTCTGTTTGTAAGCTGCAGTTCTAATGACAGTGTAGCTTTCAGAATCTTTGTGGTGCTAATTTGAAATGCTTGGTTCACCTGGCGCCCCTGGGACTCCCACTGGTCCCTGCTGTGTCACCCCCTGCGGTGAAAGGCAATTCCCTGGGCTCCTGCTCTCTTTCCCCTTGCAGGTTCTGCCAGGCCGGCTGGTGTCTTCAGGTGAGGGAGGGTGTTCCTTAGCCACAGGACAGAGAGCTCCTCCCTGGGTCAGGCCATGCTCCCTACAAAAGCGGCCAAGCTGCCCAGTTTCTTTGCTAGAGACGGGAGTCTCTGGACTGTGGTGACAGAGAGCTCTTCATACCAGGCCACTTATAAATTGAGTTTTAAAGATAATTAAGATCTGAAAATTGTAAGTAAAAGATTTCATTTAAGGCTTATGAATTTCTACAAAAATATTGTTTCAAGTGAGATTTCATTAAGACTGATAGCAGAACATAGGGAGAGGCATACTCCAGAGCAATCATACCAGATAGTTTATAGAAAAATGAGTACTCACTTGAATAATATTGTCAATTTTTTCCAAATCACTTATTACAAACTGCCAGGTTGCCTCTGTTTTAGGAAGACCTGCACTGATACTGCTGAAAGCAAAACCAAAGAGCAAAACATTTTGAATGAGTGTAATAATACTGGCTTGATGAATATTACAGGCAAAAGAGCAATCAAGATCTTTTTTATTTTGATCAGTGAAAAGGTAAGTGTTATCCTTGCCTTTGTGCATTCAACAGACGAATATAAACAGCAAACATACAGTACAAACCCTTGACACTTGAGGTTAACTTAAGGACTGACCTACCGGGATTAGAGAAAAACCTAATTTGGAAGGACAACTTATAAATAACCTGGTGTAATTTATTACAGTGGAATAAACACAGCACCAGATGTGTGGCAGTGCTCAGTAAATGTTTTTGAATGAATTCCGAGTTTTCTTTAAGTAGAGGTTCCATCCGACTTTTAAGTCCAATAAATAGGTAAAATTCTTAAGATAAGCACTAATCGTTTTCATGTACAGATTTTGATAGTACATATTCTTTACCATAGATTAAACACGCCCCCTTGCACACTGCTCACACTGTGACTAGGCCTGCAGTAGCTTTCTTCAGAAATATTACAGACTGGAGACCAATCTAGTCTGAACGATCATACACTTACTCATTTTGGTAAAACTGAAATTTAACATCAGGACAAAAGGCTCATACACTGACCAAGTGACTGTGGAATGGTTCTTCAAGCTTGAGGAAAAATAGTTGCTCCCTGATGGATATTGTACGGAAGCAAGAGACCCAACACTAATCTTCCCTGTGAGGAAGATGCACCTGCACACATCTCTGGTTCCCCACACCATGAAGGCATTAGTAAGGAAAACTGAGCTGGGGGTCATATTACGTAACTACAGGCTGGGTGCTTTGGGCCAACTGTGTGCAGTGAATTAGCTACATCTAAGAGAGAAGAAAAAAGTTAATAAGCATGGAAATATGTGAATGTCTATTAGGAGGAAAAACGAAAGGCCTAAGTAAAGAAAGAAACATTTCAAACTGAAGTAGGGTAGGGCTCAGAGGATGGGCGAGGCAGTGTCAGGGATCGATAAAAAAGTAACATGGTCGGGCGCCTGGGTGGCTCAGTCGTTAAGCGTCTGCCTTGGGCTCAGGTCATGATCCCAGGGCCCTGGGATCGAGCCCCGCATCGGGCTCCCTGCTCAGTGGGAAGCCTGCTTCTCCCTCTCCCGTTCCCCCTGCTTGTGTTCCCTCTCTCACTATGCCTTTCTCTGTCAAATTAATAAATAAAATCTTTAAAAAAAAAAAAAAGTAACATGGACAAGCCCTAAATATCTGTATTTTACTGCTGTGAAAATCAGGTAAGCTATTAATAAGGAATGGACTTCCAAGTTTAGTTAAATACCAAGAGGTCTAATTTATTGGAAAGATATAACACTCATTTGGAATAATACCCAAATGTAGAAATGCTCATTTGGGTGTTTACCAAACCTCCTCGGAATCTCCGTAATCTGCCCTCTATCTTACCCCAAATACTTAGTTCCTAAGGATTTAAGCAAACTGAACATAAAGCAGTTTAAAAGAAAAGATACTGAAGAACAATGATCAAGGCCATTAACATGATGATATTTATGCTGAAAGATAAACTTACCCCAAAATGAAGACATGAATGCCAGCCTCAGTTAGAAAATGACTGTTCAAAAGTAAACACAGGTAGCACTGGATGGAAGTACTTCTCAAATGTGGTTTCTAAAAAATATCATCACAGGCAAAGTGGTTAAAACTTTTTTTAGTTAAAAAATGATACTTAAAATAATATTTTATCATATTTTTAGATTCCAAAAGTTAAGTTTATCACAATTTCAGAATTAATGCTCTTTTTTAGAATTAATGAAGCTAGAATTTATCCTTCTTGCTTTGTCGGCACCTCCAGCTCTGTCTTCTATGAGTAAAATTCTTTAATATGTATTTCTCCAGGTGCATTTCAGTGACAATAATTTTAAGAAAGTTCACATATTCACTAATTTACATATATACTAATATCATCACTTACTTTGTTTCTATTATCTTTATCCTCCCTCTCATCTTTTTTTTTTTTCCTTTTGAATAGTTCAGCATATATTTGTTGGATTGCTCTTAACTCTCCATGGCATGTTCATTTTTTTATTTGGGTGTGGTTGACAATAATAGTTCAACATATTTCATATAGCACAGATTAATAACATGAGTTACTAATACAGGTGTACTAGTTATATATTAATTTCACGTGAATTAATTTCAAATGAAAATTAATTATATATTGGTATCATTTGGAGGAAAAGAATGGATAAAAATAGACCCAACTAAAGATACTCTATGCCATCATAACAAGCAATATATAATAATTTCTCTTGGTGATTTAGGAACATACTTATCTTAGAATTTCTCAGTTTTGATACTTTTGCCTGCCTCTCTCACACTGTCAAAACCTTTACAGTTTCAGAAAGTACCCTAAACACTAAGAATCTGGGCTTCATTTATTCTACACTAAAGAGATGAATAATATCCAGACATTGTCATCAAAGACTAGACAATTCATTGATTAGATGAAAATTCAAAGAACAAAATAAGGTAAGTGAAATAATACATTTACAATGACATGAAGAGCACCTGATGTGAGTAGAGTTAAAAGACCTGTTTCTATTTACTTTCAAAATAAGAATAATCCATACGTGACCAGAGATCTGTGACATCTCAAGGTCTTTGGAGAAGAGTCATAGAACTTACTATGAAGTATCTGAGATTCAAGTGACCTTTTATGAAAAGTCCATGTACTATTTTTCTCTAATTTTTCTTACCGAAATTCTCATTACTCAATGCCAGGGTAAATCCTTAAGTACTGAAGAAGAGCTGGCTATGGCAATGGATTTCCAGCAGCCATCCATCCAGAATATTTCCTACAATACAATCCAGGGTAAGGAAATGATCCATTAAAAACACAAGTGGACAAGAAGAAAGGGAGGAAATTAATATTCATGGAGCACTTACTTTTTCATGGGCTCTCTATTAGTCACTTAATATATCTATCACATTACATCCTCACAACAATCCTATGGGGTAGAGTTAGCAGCATTTGGGTAAGGTGCCCAGGCCCTACAGCAGGTGCAAGACAGCCAGGATTTGAGACCAGGCCTGTCTGGTGACTAAGCCCAAATTGGCAAATTCCAAAATTCTATGTTGGTAAACAGTAGAAGCAACCAAATACCTGGCTTCGTATAAACTACTGACTGTTCATTTCATTTACAACAGAAAAGGTTACTTCTACAGACATGAACAGCTGTGTTTTGAAATAAATCACTGTTAATTAAAACATTATTTGAGAATTTCATAAGTAACAACTTCTATTTTTTTCTAATTCAAGGCAATGAAGAATGTGAAGATCACACACTCCCAATTTCAACTCCATTTTATTAAAGCAAAAATTAAAACCAAGATACATAAAATGTAAAGTTATTTGTGCCATCCTTTTTAAAATAGTTATGTATTTACTGACCTCCCCACAAAACTCAAAATCTGCTATGGTCTTGACATAAATATTCACTGCAATTAAATTCTGTAAATTCAATTATTTAAATTATTTCATTATCCAGATGATTGCTTTATGATATACAACATATAAATCTTTAAAAGAAAAAACTAGCATTTATTTAAGCATTAAGCAAGATTCTATGAGAGTACATTCAACAGAAATGCCTTTTTTTCAATAATAACATATGAAATCGAATCCTCCTGTTACATACGATCTGACTCATATGCATGATTTTAATTACAGCAAACCCTCCTTATTACTCTCTTCTTAGAATCATCTTCTTTGTCTATATTATCTCAGGGCTTCAAAGCCTCTTAGATTCCCTACATCCTTTTGAGTTGTATCCCAAACTCCACATTGTTCAAATAAAATTACTTACTGACCAGAGCCTGAGCAATACCAAGGGTGCTGGAGGTGTTAATAAGGCCCTTACAGAGCTACCTGAGTAAGCAGCGAGGATTTCACAGCAAGTCTCCACATATGCAGGGTGTTCGATTCTCATCTGGGGTGCAGTGGACGTCCACCGCCCTGCCCAACCACCCCTGGCGGGCACCCGTCAAGAAAGACTAAGCCTGTACCCTGAATGCTCCTGCCCAGCATGGTGGAATGCAGCAGGAGCCCGTCCAAATCTGCAAGCAAAATGACGATCATGGAGGCCAGTGTGGGCGCAAAGGGAACTTTTACAGCTTTGCCACCCACAAAAGAACTGATACGGTCTCCTGGGTTAACAGTGAAGAATCCAGTTTTTATAGCAGCTTTGGAAGCATTCAACCTGCCACTTGCTAGTTCCGTGGACCAGTAATTTTACCAGAAATATATGTGTGGGGCTGCGCGTGCACGTGTGTGGGTCAAAACTCAGTGCAGGTCAAAGAAACCTGAGAAGGTAAAATACTCTTTTCTCTTTAGCCAGGGCTCAAAGTTAACAATTACTATAATTAATTAGTATTAATGATGGTAACATTATGGTAAGTATTGTTTACCTGGTGCTTTCAGGTTTACCAAAGTATTTCCTACACATGATCTCATTCAATCCTGACAATCTCTTCCTGTGAAAGATATTACTCTTATTTTAGGGTGAAGAAATTGAGGTTCTGAGAGGTTAGGTGACTTGCGTCAGGTAAATGTCATACGTGTGGCCATGAAAATTGACCTCACAACCAAGGTGGGCAGAGGGAGGAGGGAAGCCAGAAACAGATGAGTAGCCCCTTCCTATAGGAAGTAACCGACTCACCCCGTGTGAATAAGAAAAATCCACTGCTCTATTGACACTTTAAAAACAGGTCTTTCAAATTTCTTGTGTGAAACAGAACTCAAGCTCTTTCACATCCATTATCGCATTTGATTTTCACAAAATACCTGATAGAGGGAAGTGGCTGAAACCAGGTTAATTACTTTCTGAGAAGACAAATCTAGGGATGAAATAAATCACCCACTTCCTTTTATATCATATTTTTGGAGAACCAGGAAAACAGTGTTTAATTTTTTTTTAAGATTTTATTTATTTATTTGACAGAGAGAGAGAGATACAAATAGGCCAACTGTTTAATCCTGGCATACTAATTGTGTGTGATCATGAAATGCGCTCTCAGTCAGCATCTTTGGTTTGTCCTTCAGTCATCTGGGGGCCTGGACCCAGGATCAAAAAAGGACTGAATCTCGGTCTTGTGCTCAAGTGGTTCACAAAGTTTAAGCAGGGATTTTTTTTTTTTTTTTCGATCTTGTGGTTGGGTGTCACCGCAGGATGGTTGTTGACCTTATGGCAACACCTCTACGCTAGCAGGATGTCACCGGCCCGGGGTAAGACATCGGGAAGAGCTGACAAATCAACACAGCTAGGCAGCTCCCAGAGCTGTAATTCTGGAGTGACTTGTGAAAATAATTGTACACATCTTGCACTCCATACCAACACTATAGTCCTTCCCAGCGAGGAAATATAATCTAACACACTGCTGTTTTGTCTTGTTTTATTCTGCTTAATTATTTACTCGCCCAGTCACACGTTTGAAGTCAATTTTAAAAGGTTTAGCAGAGAGGAAGGGTTTTAAGTCTCGGTTAATTTGGTAAACACATTCATCTGTTCACACACAAAAAAACAAAAAATGAGGGAAGACCAATGCCGCATGCTCATGTGACTATAAAGAATGGAAGACAGTGGGGTGCCTGGGTGACTCAGTCATTAAGCGTCTGCCTTCTGCTCAAGTCATGATCCCAGGGTCCTGGGATCGAGTCCCGCGTCAGGCTCCTTGCTCTGCGGGGAGTCTGCTTCTCCCTCTCCCTCTGTTTCCCCCACACACTTGTGCTCTCTTTCTCTCTCTGTCTCAAATTTTTAAAAAAGTCTTCAAAAAAAAAAAAAAAATGGAAGACAGCATTGTTGCCCTGTACTCATGTAACAAATATTTATTGAGTACTTACTATGTGCTAGGTATTTATCTCTGACCTTGGGATACATCGATGAATGCAGAGGACAAACTACCTTGATTTTAGAGGGAAAGACAGACCACTTATAATATAGGTAAACTAGTTAATTATATGTTTCATTAGGGAGAGATAAGTGATGTAAGGAAAAAGGAAACACAGAATAGGGCATGAAGGACGCGGCTGCGATTTGGAGTAGGTTGTCAGGGTCGAGTTCAGTGAGAATAAAATCAGATCAAAGATGGACAGGCAGCAAGGGAATGCGCCCCAAGGATACCTGAGTAAAGAGCATCTGAAGCAGAGGGAAGAGCTAGAGCAAAGGCACCAAGGCAGCAAGCATGCCTATGAGTGTGAGGTTCGGAAAAGAGGCCGAGGGAGTGAGCAAGAGAAAGTAGTCGGCGATGAGAGCAGGAAGGTACACAGGGAGGCATGGGTCAGACTGGGCCCTTGCGGTCACTGCACCCGTCTACAGCTTGAAATCACTGCAGCACTTTGTCACAGCAGACAGCTGATACCATCTGAAGGACCTTGTTAAGAATCTGTCTTGGCTCTTGTGTTAAGGACAGGCTGGGCAGGGCGGGGCCAGGAGGGCAAGGCTGGAAGCAGGGGTGCAGGTGACTCATGGCGGTGGCTGCCACGTGGGGTTGGCAGTGGAGACTAGGACACGTGGTTGGAGTCTGGAAACACCGTTATGACGGAACCAACAGGATTTCCTGACAGACCGGATGTGGGGCATCTGAGAAAGAAATACTCCCAAGTCTTTGTCCCTGAGCACATGAGAAATGGAGCGGCCACCAACTGAAATGAGATAGGCTGTGGGTGGAGTTGATACTTTGAAGGGAGGGGGCAGATAAGGAGTTTTTATTCTGGACGTGTGGAGTTTGGGACATCAAGTACATATCTACATGAAAATGTCAAATAGGCAGTCAGACGTTAGAATCTTGAGTTCAGGAAAGTGCTTTGAGCCTGAAATCCACATCGGATTCATGACACTGGTTGAGATCACCAAGGAAAAGGTAGAGAAAAGGACCAAACCTGAGCCAAGGCATTTCAATATTAACTAGTCAGAGAGACAAAAAAAGGACCAGCAAAGAAAAACTCAAAGGGAAGACCAGAGAAAAGGGGAAAAATGAAGAGAGTGTGATGTTCTAGACATCAATGAAAATTATATCCAGGAAAAGAAATGATGATCACATCAAAGGTGCTGACAGGTCAAAGACGACACAGATTGAGCCCTGAAGGGGGTTTAGCAACATGGGGGTCCTGGGGGACTCTGACAAGAGCATTTTCAAGGGAGTGATGGAGACAGAAGCCTGCCCGAAATGGGTTGAGGAGAAAGTGGGAGGAAAGGATTTATAAAATGTTCGTGCAGGCAACATTTTGCAGAATACTGCTCCAAAAGGGAGAAAAAGGGCGGTAAAAGGTAATAGAAGGTGGGGGGAAATAACAGCATGTCTATATGCTGAGGAAAACCTTGAGGATGTTAGAAGGAGAAGGGACCATTGCCAGAGTGAGGTTCTTGAATAGGCAAGTGAGGAGGAGAATGGGATTTCATGCACAAGTGGGCTGGTGGCTGGGTCATCCATTGTCATGGAAGGAAGGCTATGGGTCAGGGTAGGTGCAATGTCTGGGTGGTAGAGAGCTGTCGTGGTGTATGTGCTCAACTGTTGCTTCGGTTTTCTCAGTGAATTAGGACAAAAAGTCATCGGCAGAGAGTGAGGGCAGGGAGGGAGCATTAGGGGTTGAGGACAGAGGAAAATGTATGAAATAGCCATTGAGGTAAGTAGGAGAATGACAAATGTAAGTACAGCATGGGACCCATGCCCATTGGAAGTCCATGGTCGTGAATGGTCAGAAAGGAAGATTAGTCGGCACGTGTGTTTTCTCCAGCCACATTAAACTGTGAGGAAGAGGCAGGCCCGGCAGAGGTGGAGAACTGTATTTAATCGGGGT